TCCCAGAGCCCCCGGCCGGGGTCCCCATCCCTATTCCCCGCTCCGACATCCTCCGTTCTCGCAGCTTTTCGCCCTCCCCGGCTCCCCGCGGTTCGTCCCCGAGCAGGAGCTGCCGGAGCAGGACACGGCGGGTGGAGTTTAAACTTTCCTGTTTTTGTTTTACCTTGGTTGTTTTTAAACTTCTTTTAAGCGGCCCAACAGGAGAGCCGTGAAATCAAACCCTGAGGCTCTGCTGAGCTCAGAGCTTGGCTGCTGAGCGAGGACACAGATCAGTCCCAAAAAGTAGGTGGAGGTCCAGGGATCAGGAGGTTCACAGAAGTGTAGGAGCTAGAAACTAGGCCTGGATTCAGCTGCCTCTATTTACAGGTTGGTGTTCCATCTGAAAGCCTTCTCTGATTTGGGGTTCCCCTCTGTTTTTCACACAGAAGTTGGTTTTGGAAGTGCCCTGAGCAAACTCAGCTGCAAAAAGGATCAAGGTCCCACCTCTGCTGGGACAAACCTGAAATATTTCTACTTCTCCCCTAATGAAGAAATATCCCTCTTTTAAAACCTCAAAATAACTTGTTTCTTGGAAAAGGTTGCCTCCTGGAGAATACCTAGAACTCTTCCCAGAACAGGAAAATTCCCTAGTGCCTCATCCCAGAGCAGGGAACCAGCAACACCTCCTGGAGCACCAATACCCTTGACCATCACCCCAAAGCACCTACCTGCAGAGATGGGCACTCAGGGGTGGGACAGCAAAGGCATGACCCTGGAGCAACACCAGGGAGGGGTTTCACTCTGGGAGGTTCCAGCTAATGTAGGGATTTTGGTCTCAGCTGACACCAGTAAACACCATCAGCTGGTGGCTGAAGGCACCTGCTCAGAGCTGAGATGGCACATCTGAGCACTCTGCAGACCTGGGCCCCTTTTTGTGAGGAGAGCAGGTTTTAAGGACAAAACAGGCAGGTTCTGCACCTCCATGAGATGAGACCTCTTGATCAGGCCCAGGTTGCAATTTAATTGTGAAAGCAGAGTTGCAGGACTGGAGCAGAGGAAGCTCAGCTGTCTTGCCCCAGGACCTCACCTTAGACCTGCTCCCAACCTGCTGGCAGGTCAAACGCCCAGTTTTACACTTATTTTTACAGCAACAGCATCACAAGCTTCAGCTGTTAATTGCAGTCTGAGGTCTCTGCTCTGCAATGACAGGGGTCAGGACCATGTTCCTGAGCTGTGAAGGTTGAAGCCCACAGAGTCCCCAGAGCAGGTCTGACCCTGCCACCAACATTCACGTCTTGCTGGTTTCAAGCATTGCAGCTTCACCCAGCAACTCAGGGCTGAAAGCCACAACGGTGCTGAAACATCCTCCCAGGACCACTGGAAGCTGCCTGTGGTGGCAGAGCCCTTGGACAGCTAGATGGCAGAGAGGACTCCTTCTGTGTCAGAGAAACTGAGGAGAAACACACCACTACCTGGAGTAACTCCACATTGATAGATGGTGACTCAGATGTTGCCAAGTAAAACATTTACAGTAGATTGAACCAGTCTTAAGACTGATGAGAGCTCAGGTTTATGACAACTTTCCTGCTACCTCTTGTGGAGGTATTCAACAAGGTCTGGCAGCTCCCACAGCTCCAATCTGCCCTTCCCAACTTCTACAGAACTTCAGGAAGGGTGGTGGGGTAGCAGGAAGGGCCTCAGGAGGTTCACGGGCTGTTCTGCCCATTGTGTGCATGAACTAGATGCTCACGCAAGTATCATTATGGAAAAGCAACAGAAATTGGCAGCTGCTGCTCCTTTTCTCCCTCTACTGATCAAAAAACCCAACACCAGCAAACGGGCATGAAATGTGCTTCTGAACTTATGACCACAACCCCTGGCAAGATCAGCAGCTCTTCTTTCCTTCCTGCCTCTGTGGTGGAAGAGGAACCCTTCCACCTCCACCACAGCAGGACTTCCTCCACCTGAGCAGCCTGAGGTAGGTGAAGCACCCCAGGGGAATGCAGCCAGGCAGACACAGCCCAGGATAGGAGCCGTGTGTCACTAAAAGTGCATTTGAGGAAAAAACCCTCACAAGTCACAGAGGAAAAAGTTGAGACAGTGACACACAGAGTGGTTGGGGAGCTCAGGGCTGCAGAGGGGGGGGGAATGCATTCCT